GCAAGAAAACTTTCCAGTTTAGTAGGTACGTTATATATAGGGAATGATTTAATAATTTTCTTTTCATTCAGACATTCAGGTAAAGTTATACGATTTTTTCAATATATTCTTTATGAATGAATAGATTAATGTACTATACATTACAATAGCAAAATACGCGCATTTATAGAAATAAATACAAGTAGATATAAATATGTAGGATGAGATTGGCGTGGTATTTAGGTATTCAGTTTGGCTGTGATTTGATTTAAGGTATATGGCATAGCTTTACCGAAACGCAAATTAAGAATGTACAGAATGTACAACGCAAATTAAGAAATAAGAATGCCTAAATTGTACAGATGTGTACAATTACTACGATTTGTACAGATGTCATGTAATGTTTGGTTTCGTATCGTTGACCAACAACGCGTATTTTTCATTCAACTTTATAGGCGCTGGGGGCAGTGCTATTTTTATAGTCGCGTTGGTATATGCATCGACAGCCACGTCAGCAGTTGCGATTGTCACCATAGTGATAACCTTGTCGAATTTAACTGGGTCCGGACCTAATGCAAACATCATTGAATTGGCGCCAAAATATTCCGGCGTTCTTATGGGTGTCACAAATTTTGCAGCTAATATTACTGGATTTATATCACCTGAGATTGTCGGTGCACTTACTGCACACGGGGTAGGTTGGCGTTTACATTTACAGGCAGGGGCGTAGGAACCATATTTAAGTTGGGGGGGCCATTAACGTCTAGGGCACTTGCCTGATGAAAAGGGCATTTAACATTGGCACGTATTATTGTTGAAAAAAGTTGAATTATATTGTTATATTGTTGCGTTGGCATAGACGTTTCCACAAAGAAAAAGGGCACTTTTCCTCAGCAAAAGGGCACCTTTTCTGTTATTTTTGAAAGTTGGGGGGGCCTTGGCCCGCTTGCCCCCCCCGGTTCCTACGCCCCTGTAAATTACAGGTCTGATAACAGGTCTTCTAAATCATAATTCAAAATTCTCACCGTTTCTTAATTATCAGCATATCAACACTATATCATGACCACTATCATAACAGTAATTCATCATCTGCTACTGCATATTCATGTTGTTAACTTTATTTGACAATTTGTATATATACATAATTTATATGCGAAACATTTCTTTGGAAAATCGAGTAATTTACACATAGGTGCGAAACATGGCGAGAAATTGTGGACACGCATGCGTGTTAATCGTGTGGACTTTAAATTTTCTTTGTAAACAAAATGGCGACGCGTTATTATAGAATTGTATTGGAGTTAGGAATAAAATTGTGTTTAACGTAAACCTTTAAGGGAAGCGTAAAATGTCGGACCTAAAATTGGTAGATCATGGTGACAACTTTTATCGACGGAAAATTTGTAATATAACCATATACAAATTTCATTCGGTATCACGACATTTAACTATGAACTAGGGGTGAAATAAAATATATAGCCCAGTACGTAAATACCTCAAAGCGGCCCAAATAAATGCCATTTTCTAACCATTGTGATTGGCGAATACTAAGTGTCGCATCTCCCTTTGCTTGCCAGTACAGTGTGTTTCAATCGGTAAATCTTCCCAAATCTGTACGATTTTTACGTAGTTCGGTATTTTGAACTAACTTTAGTGCAAAATTGGTATATTCCAGCCGTGAAATTTGACCCCCCGAGCAAAAGCGCACTGAAATGGCTAACAGAACAAACTAAATATCGGCCTTTCTTGCTCGAATATGCACCATTTTGCTTGTTTTTAGTACAAGCTTTGTGACCAAGCCTTGGTCTTTAGGCAAACTTAATATATTCATAAGCATTGCCGTCTATGGCTGGAATATTACATAATTATATTGAAACCGGCGAAATTTTGAAATTAATTTCGCGCAATATTCATAACAACAAACGCAGTATATTTTAGCGTCTATAGCAGTTAGGTTAATGTTTTTAAAGCATATAGAAACAAGCTCTTAAATGTCTGACGCAACTATTTCTTTGGCGAATGTTAAACTGCTCATAAATGGAAATGTGCCGTCGAATATGTTGTCCTACGTCGCCAAACAAGCCATATCAGGTGATCATGTTATATACTGTATGGATATTCGCAATAGCGTTTTGCTACAATGGCATAACGCATAATCCAAGCAGGAAAATTACATAGATTTCTCAACGAGAGTCGAGATAATTCCCGATGAATCCGTCCGGACTATGCGCGCTGCGCGCATCGTTTAGCTTCCTTTGGAATTTTTTTGCTGATCTTCTGAATACTTTGTGTATGACCCTTGAAAGTCAGACACTTAACTCCTCCCACTTATGTCCACATTTTCTCGCCATGATGAAGTTCGATTATTTTTTTTTCAAACATCTTTGCACATGCACTACCTCCTCCGCAGGCCCTTTTCGGGCAAATATGTGGCGGGCGGTGATATTTTGCGGGTAGAAATTTAGGCACATAAATATTATAGGTTCATAAATATTTCAAAATTATTTTTTCACAGGATTTACGAGAACAATGGGCTATTATATTTCACTTAACCGCTGGTGTTAATATACTTGGCATGATATTCTACATTGCTTTTGGAAGGGCAGAGAAAGAACACTGGGCTGATCTTTAGTAATATAATTTCACTATTTTATCATAGTTAATATTATAGATCGGCGGTAGTTGTTTATATTTGAAATTGAATTACGGTTATAAAATTAACATACCGCCTACACGAATTGGGAAGAGAAACAATATAATTATGTAACAAAATATTAAATTAAACTTATTAAAATATAATTTTAGTAGCTAAAAGCGGAAGAATAATTGGATGTCCTAATATTATAAAACATTACATAAACGTTCTCACGACCACCAGGAGTTTGTGTAACTTTTGTTTTCGGGTGAAGCGGTTTCTTAAAGTCTTGTCTCTGGTGATCAAATGCCATGCTAAAGTCACTTCAGTGTTGCTATATTTATATATACTATATGTATCCGAAAATTCAACAAAAGGATCTGTTATTCAAAGCGTCGAAGGTGGAACATCCTTTTGATATCCTCTCTATATCAAATATCGAGTGAAAGCATCCACGCGATCCTTTGGAATTGGAATGATCCAATTAAGAATTTTTAGGTATTTTAGATATAACCTTCTCAACAACCACTTTGACATATGTTCACAACAATCACCAGAAAAATATAGTCACAACGCGTTCAAACCAGACTGGTTGCGAGTGTTAATCGCACCAAATGCATTTCAAGAATAACCTTTTTATGTTAAATAAGCGGTGTCGTCGTTTCAGGCCCTATCCTGCAAATGGCACCAGAAACGCCAAAACTTTCTTTCACACACTCCGGTCAAATAAACCTTATTTACGACCACGTCGGTGTTGCCCCTTTCTTTGGAATGCTACCGATGAGCCACGACCAAAACAAATGCCTTTCGGTATTCTAAAATTGCGATAGCACGAAAAAATAGAGTTCCGTGATTCTACGAAATGTGACATTTAAAAATGTATGAATTGAAACTCTCGCTAAACAACGTTCAAATGCGGAAAGTAAATATGCCTGGAAGCAATTTACGTGTTCCCACAATCGTCGAATATTAAAATAGGCCCGCGGTGCGTACATGTAGCCGGCCAAGAGGTTGGCCAAAAATATTTTTTCATTTAGGTAATCGCCTTAACAGACTTAAAACTTTCTAAGAGGTAATTGCAGTTACCTATTTTTTATTGGGTTAAAAAAATTGTCAAGCTCTACGTTTATTGAAATCTACTTGTGTGATGTTCTCCGGTGTATCGTTGTTAATTAATCATATGAGAATAAAATTTATGTATTTATATAAGGTCCATTCCAAATTAAAATGCTAACAAATTTTCGATGACATTCACTCAGAGATCGATATATATATATATATATATATATATTTATATATATATATATAATATATATATATAATATATATATATAATATATATATATATAATATATATATATATATATATATATATATATATATATATATATATATATATATATATATATATATATATACGATATAAACACAACCAGGCATAATCCCCCTAACTTTCTCACAAATATTGTGAAATGCAGTAAGTAGCAGGAACATTTCTTGTGCATACTGCATGTAAATTGTTTTTAGCCAATCACATTCAAGCAATTATTTAGGGCCACAACTTCTGGCATCCCGGTGTGGGACACATTAAAATCAGGAATTGAAAAAATTCATCCACTCTCCCTCTTGGTGTATTAATTAAATTTAATTTTTTCGACGGTTTAGAAAATTATCATTGTTTTAAATTTTGATGCTTTTGCTAAGCTTTTACCAGTTTTATATCGATAATTTTGCATTTGTTTACATGGTTAGTTTGAGAGCTCTAGTGGAAGTTGTCAGTGTCTACCTCAGCATTATTCATACTCAGGATAAAAAAACATTGATGCAGCACGCTTATTTTCTAGCTATACCAAAAGTTTTGAAAAAATGGAACGTTAAAGCCCGAATACATGTCACGATATAGCAGGTGACATCCCCCTTGAATGTGTTTAGTTCAGCTTAGTGAAATCAAACTTATGTATAGAATGTCTAAATTATGGAGTACGGCGTGTAGTATATCTTTCTTGTCATTTCTATGTTTGCCATCCGTTTTTGTTCGCCACCAAACGCCCTTCACATAATGACGGGCAATTTTTATTTTGAATTGTTTGTGTACAACGTACTGGGGTAAAATCTTTATAAGAGTGGAAACAGCACTCTTAATAATAGTATGTCCCCCCGTGCTAGCTCGGGGACAAAGATTGCAGATTGATAATTATACAACCAATCTGCATCTAACCTTGACGGTTAGCTCTATATGCGCAGCAGATAGCTAGTAAAAACTGTAATCGAATTCATTCAAAAATCCGCGGTTATCTGATAAAAGGTGGTATATTGTTCTTTTCATCATCTACCGCGCACAGTAACATTTGAATAATACACAGAATAATACAGAGTAATGATGTACCTTTTTTTTTCAACAACATGTTCATCTGCTATCTCCATATCGCTAGTTTGGCTTAAAAAAAGTAGCAAATGGTCGTGAACAAATGACATACAGTAACGACAATGAGCATATTGGTGGCGTTGAAACATTAATGGTGTATGTGTTTAGGATTTCAATGTATCGCCTTTATTTGAACTGGGAGAAATACATGTATAGGATATTAAAAGGAGGGGATATTTAGCAGAATAAGAATGAAGTGTTGAAATCCTTGGTGTGTACCCAACGTATGTTGCCGTTTTTCTAATACTCCGTACCTTGATTTTCTTGTAGTTCCACCATCAGCATCAGCCTGAAAATTTTGAGTTGGAAAAAAAAACGGATGCCCAATTAACATTCTAAGTTTCAATGTTCTTACCATTATAATCAAGCATTTGGTCTTGGCATGGGAATAGGGTAATGTACACGGGGCAATAATGTTGTGATTGGCCTAGTTCTTTTATTACATCAATTAGGGATATGACAATGCGCACTTTCTAGTTTTCTTGTCAAATTATTTTAAAGTTGCTGATCATTTGGAAGACTGGAAATAGAAACAGGAAGATACAATACTTTGGGCCTCTCGAAGCGATCAGAGAAATAATTTTCCATGCCAACCTGCTGTGCACACACAAGTAGCTATTACTATACCATGATATTTGTAATCTCCATATCATCAGAGGTATCCTTGGCGATTTTCCTTTGTTTTCTTGATGGACGATTGAAACGGAAATTTGCTGGGTACTTATGAACTTTAACCAGATGTTCCTGTGTGTATTTACAACAGAAATGTATATTAGTGTCTACAATAGTAAATATGTATTACTTCAAGTGATAACTTCCCGCGCATTAGCGATTCCAAAGTTGCAGTAAAGGACCGGTTCTAGTAATATTGACAACGCATCATAGGCCTGTTTTGGGACGAATCTTTTGTCAGTTACGTTCCAAAAAACAGTCACCTAAAGAGTTGTCGGCCTGACTATCACCATTCCACTAGCGCAACTTAATTCGGAATGGCCAATAACATTAAGTGTTGAATTGAAATGTACTTTTCTTGCATTTTTGCCCCAAAATACGATTGTCACTAAATTTTTCGCTTCTCGCTGCTCTCCCCAGTTCTTTTAAAGGCGTATTTTGCCTGCGCCGCTTCCGCTAATATTAAAACAACGATACCTAATCAAATCGTCCAATGATTTGATGGAGGTTATAGAGTTATCGTTCCAGTCTTATTTAAGTTCACAAAACGAACGTCAAATTTTAAATTCCAATCAACGAAATGAGCATAGACACTCGTTTCCATGCGTCAAAATGATAATCGCATACCCAACAAATCGTATAATGTAAATAGACCTGTAATAGGACTGAAATACCGGGTTTGCGCGAAAAGTGTAAACGTAGCTTAGTCAATTCTTATCCTTACACTTTCATACTAACTTCCCTGACGAAGGCCAAGATTTGGGTCGAAACGTTGAGAAGTCCTTGTCTATTTTAGGCAGTTGTTATACCGCATTTGATGTGAAGTTGTTTGAAGACCCGCGCTGCCACGCTGCTCCCTGGTTATTGGAACGTATTTCAATATTTGTTTACAACATTTCCAAATTTGTCTACGAATGTTGTTGTAGTCTTAAATTTGGTCAATGTTATCGTTTGGTGAACCTTTTTATATTTGTTTATTATAGAAACAATGCCAATATTTGAGGCTGGTGATCCTACGGCAAATATTTGTCATACAGAGACAAACTGCCGAGCAGCGGCTGTATCGTATTAGATTAATCAAGTTACCCACCTTTCGCTCAGCATCATCTGAGAACTTATCGGGGCAGTTTTCGACCAGACACCTGTGCTTGAATGTAAAAGTAACAAAATGACTGTTAAGAAGTGTGAATAGTTGGCCAGTGATATTCTAGATGTGTAGTGTATATGTAAGTTCTGATAGTAATGTATGTTCAGATCAGATAGTAATGTATGTAAGTTCAGATAATAAATATAAGGATACCTGCATTAATATCTCATCGTTGACTCTCAGGTCGAAGTAACAATTATAGTTAAATTTAGCCTAGTTCTCGTTATTAACCGACGATGTATCGTTCTCATTTTTAGTCGGCGATGTATCGTCGGTAATCGGTGACTTATTTACTCAAAGTAACAAAACACTTTATTCTCCAGTGATCACCGACAATAGCCCTCGCCGACCGTCGGTGACCTATGGCTATGAGAACATGTACATGTATAGCTATGCGTGACTGCATACTACACTGTAGGCCTATTACATACTAAATTTACAATTATACACTTCAATTGCAACGAATAATCACGTTTTTTCACGAACTTATCCATAAAGAGAGAATAAGGAAGTTCATGGTATTTACCGTATACTTCGCATTTGACATCAGTTTGAATAGAACGTCGTGATTCTCTAGAATATGCAATTCCAAGAGAAAGTTTGATGGAAATGTTCGACGGCATTCGAGGCAAATATTTCTGTGGTAACTGTCATAGTGAGCCTCGTAGCTAAAAAAGAACGTAATTCAATAATTATTATAGTCTATTGCAGATGTAGGGCTTGATAAAACACAATCAACAAACGGTACCAAACCTGTCTACATTGTGAAATATCTGATGGCATCCAATCAGATCACACACAATCTCTTCTCTAAATTTTCAAGAAGTAGTTTTACCAGGTTTGCAGTACGTTAATGCTCGATACAACTATATTCAGTAGCGTAGCCAGCCTGTCGATTTGTCCCGCTATGCTAATATTTTCGTGTCCACTGATTGTGAAAACAATAGATTTCTAAAGACATGAATAATTATAATAACTCGAAATTTACATAGCGGGACAAAATCGTCAGGCTGGCTACGCCACTGACTATATTCAGATATAGGTTCTTGACATGCAAATAAATCTGCTGTAGGCGTAGCAAACCCGGCCGGGAAATTATTCATGGAAAATTCCCGGGAATTTCCGCATGTGATTGACGTGATCCGTGTGTACGCATGTCCAGTAGAAGATCACGGCTCTCGGCCAATGAAAACAGTAAGAAGGCTACTTATTATATACACAATAACTTTTTTTCGCAGAAAAATAGCGTTGATTGATTCAAAGCACATTCATTGGGTTTGTATGAATTAAGAAGCGTGCCCATACATATGCCACAACTTACCGGTGTTCCAGGTCAACAGGATCGTCAGGAAGAACAATTTGCTTTGACAAAACACTGCAGAATATATCTCCATCCTATAAGAACGATTTTAGATTTAATCTGTAAACATGCTCACACCTGGCAAATGTCACAAGATTGAAAGGACGTTTAAGGGAATAAGGTACTGTAAGAAAAATACTCCTAATTTTGATGACTTTATTACTTTCCAAGATATGGCTATTAAAAAGTATTATCGAACAAAAAACTGATATCTGCCAACTTGGGTATATAGGAATATCTATGGTCTATTATATAAAAAGTCATAAAGAAAACTGGCAAACTATCACATCTTTGACGTTATAACTTGCCAGGATATGTATGAAGTTGCATACAATTATAGACAAGTGTGAACACATAATTTAGTAGAAAAAAAATTTGACAAAAATTCATGTCCATATGTTTTTTTTCATGAACTCATGGAAAACTATATATTTGCTAAAATATATTAATGGCAAGACCATATAGAGAGTAATGAGTGCAAGTGAATTTGAAATTGCACTGGTCAGCTATGATTAATAAATGGCAAATGCTGCCATTTTACTCTAATAAAACATTTACATATTATTATTTTGCCATTTGGAAACTGAGTAGGTGAACATGGAACAAACAAAGGAGAAACACTTAATGTAGTAAATTGCAACTCTAATTTTCTACCAGGGAAGGATTGCATACTGGTATCAAAATTCTCGCCTGATTACTTTAGTAGGCTGTCTAGCATTCTATGCAATTTTAACACAGTGTAGCAAATATATAGTTTTGCATTACCCCTTTTGCATACTGAACGTTAATAATTTGCATTTATAGTACATTTTCATATGTACCTACAATTACCTACACAGGTAAAAATATCACATCTTGTAACAAGTTTGCAAACAAATTGTCAACAAGTTTTGTTTGCTGGTTACAAACTGTTGACAAGTATGGGACAGCTTGTTAACAAGATGTAACAAACTTGTTGAATCATCGTTGTTCAACAAGTTTGTCAAGTCTGGTACAAACATGATCTAACAATATTTCTACAATTCCATGCTGCCAGGTTTGTAGGAATGTTGTTATATCACAGCTGCAAAAGACTTGTCAGAACAATCTTCAAACAAGTCATTGGACCTCCTGCAACAAGGTTGCATGCGGAGGATCATTAGCACCCTAACTCTTAAAAAGATCTCCCGCTGCCCCTGTGCTGGCAATTAAGTTGTTTACTGCTTGCCCCAGCTTGTTACAACAACTTGGCACAAGCAGTGCAAACACATCGTGTTTAAGAGCTTGTGAACGAAGTATAACAATTTGTAACAATTGTGGCAAACTTGTTACAACTTGTGCGTTTGTGCATGTGTAGGGGATGATGGGTAATTATTAACCTCTCAAAGGAGGATCTCTCAAATGGCTCTTTGAAGGAGGATTCATTATAAATACCAATATAAATACCTCAAAGAATGCATGTCCAGGAGGATACATGCGCTTACACGGACTGAACGACCAAGGAAATCCACCGGCCACAGAATTATTCGTCTGCACATCCATCATTTGGCTTAGTTTAATACATGATATTGAAATTAGTGAATTACGGAATATAATGACTGAAAGTTAATTCTTCCACTTCTCCCAGGCCTGAGATCGTTTTACATTTCGCAACCAATTGTTCTCTGTGCCTCAATGAAGCGACGTAAACTAAGTTGAACTAGGACTAAGGTTTATAGTTGCTCAGAATCAATAGATAGAACTAGAAAGGCTATGGACTAGGAGTTACTACGGCAAAGCAAGTGCTGCCCCTCCTTGTAGTAGCAAAATTACCTGGGTACAAGTTTCACTGTTGCTGTTGCATATAGGACAAAAATTGAGTTTTGTGTAATGATTGTAATATTTATTTATTCAGTTCGATTCTTAGTTTCCATGTGAAAGATTCAACTAGAAAGTAGAACTCTGTAGTTAGTTATAATTTCGATAATTATTCACGCTTGATCGTTGAGAATGCTGAGCATAATCGTTGAAACATTTCAGATAATGAAACCCTCACTGAATTAGCTCTCACTTAAAGATATATCTGCGTTTCGGCAGAGTAATGAAAGAGAATCGGTATTAATATAGCTTAATCGCTAACTAAATTATTGCCGGTCAGCCTGAATCAGGATTCTCATTGAGAAAGAACTAATTCACTTCGATTCAAGTTGACCAACAATGGAATCTAGACGTCACAGGAAACCACAAGAATTGACATATTGTTCTCGAAACTATTCACACATGTTGAATGACTAGCCGTGCAGTTTCTACAGAAATCATTTCCTGTATACAGGAGATGATTATATACAGGAAATGATTCATGTAGAGACGGCACGCAGGCTAGTTGAATGGCACGACCGAGACTGGTAAACAACGACCAAACTGGTATTTTCGAAGATTAAAAACCCGTTCATCTGGCTGAAAACACGCTCGAGCTATAATGCACTGGGATATGATAACGCGGAAATTCCAATTTCACCCTCATACTCAATAAATAAATACCAATTGCGAAAACGTAATGCTGCTATGTTGAAAAATGGACTGTATATTAACACCAAATGGTCTGTATGGTACACGAACACATGGTACCGATAGCTAAAAATCGTGTTTGCTTCCAGGCCCTAGCTTTAAGCTATCAACCGCTTCAATTTAATTTTCTTTCTCAAAACGATAGCTACATCCACGCTGGAAAACGACATTGCACATGGGGTAAGAGGTTTATCAACATATATTGACAAAAAGGGAAATACCCTGGGAACGAGGTTGAACATATATGTGAATCGCAAATACAGAAATTGCTATATTAAAATGCAGTTGTCTGTCATTGTGGTGGCTTTGGATAAGATCACGTATGTTGATTGACACAGCATGAGTCGGTATGTCGAAAATTTGAACCATGTGACATGTGCCAAGGTTATGCGCTTAGCTGAAAATTTATGAGCTTGGTTTATCCAGACCATGCATGCACTTACGATATTTTTTTTAAATTTTCCTCTTTCAGATTAGGAACTCCGAATAGCTGAAAGATATTTCGAAACAAGCATGAAGCATGTAGAAACTAGAAAACAAATAACCAAGGGCGATTGATGTGAAATCTGTTGATCAAGTTTTAGTCGCGTATATCGCGTTTCTCATGTTGAAGGCCATTATTCCTGCCTGCATAAAATATACAGGCTAGAACTGGTTAGGTGCACGTCTTTTGTAAGTCTGCAAGAACACTTTAACTTTGACACGCCTTTCTTTAAATCTTTCTTTCCGGTTGAAATGGTAGCCGATTGATGAGTTTTCATAGAATAGTTAAGGTAACAATATAGACTACAAAAGATGAACCGAATCGATTCCTTCAGCTTCGTAATATGTCGACGGAGCTATCTACGAATTATTCCATAATGCTTTGCGGTCGAAATTTACGGAAAGCAAAACGCAGAAAAAACTCTTAAAAAATCCATGAAACCCGAGCCAACAATTAATGCATAATCCCGATCCAACAACAAATAAGTGTCTGTCAATTTAAGGGTATCATGTCGTTGGGTATTTGTCTTTACTTTTTTTTCGCGCAACTATGCGCGATAGCCGCAATAGATTGTAGGCTTATTGAAATACCGCCATTATAATAGGGAAATAAGACGATTAAAATGTTTTCTTCTTGATCGCACTGATTAGAGAAAATATACCAGGAAGCCAATTTAGCTACTGCCTGCCGATACCTTATGATAGTTTTATACTTATGAGTGGCATGTTCCTTGTTGTATGTGGGTACTGAGTACTGACGATTAGGAAATTAGAAGAAAATTTTGCCTCGTCTGATCTGATATTGTCACAATACAAAATATCATGAAGACACAAAGACAGGATGCACGTACATGCATCTCGAGAGTTTACAGTTCTGAATATGTTTGTCACCGTTTGATGAGTGCCACAAATGATACCCCAGTAACTGGACATGCTCTTGGATTTGAGTTCCACATATGATCGATAACTTTTAATTGATTATTAAATGCAATTATTTTGCGCACATCTGCGAACTAGCGTGCAAATTTCCAAATAAAACCAATCTATTATTTACACAGCTCGTATAAATCATAAACGACGCTGCCGAAAAAATGTGTCAAGAAAAAGAAAAAAGTGTCGGTGGAGACTTTTCCTCGCTGATATATAGACAGAGACTTCACGAAATCATCCAGAATCTTTTAAATCCAAGCTGCATGTGACTCAGTACTACAACTATAAATTTCTAATCGCAATCTGAACATGTCTTAAAACAGCATGCTTCAAACTGCAGAGTGAAAAGTGAATAGCCTCTTAATTAATGCTATAATAGTCCTCTAATGCTCTCTTAATGGCCTAATTGTAGTAGAGAACGTACTATAATCAAGAAAAATCCACCGCTGATGATGGAAAGGAAGATAAAGATTACACTGGAATGACATCCGGTCATTTTAAGGAAAGCTAAACCAGCCACATTTGATCTTTGAAAAATGAACGCCATTATGGATGGGTTCAAACTGAATGATTTAATGTGCGTCGGATACATAGAACAGATAAATTATTTCGACAAAATTGGTCATTGCTTCTCTTGCCTATATAGAGAAAATTCCTGCGATCGTTAATTTATCATACTTGACAAGTACACGTATTCAAAATCTTGGCCGTACATATACGAAAAATTAAAACTTGTCACATAAAAACTTGTCATAGAAAACTTGGTCGTCTGTAAGAGACTTCACCGCCACATGAACAATTATATAAATGCGCATGCACACAGACCATTTTATCTTACGTGCGAGAACACTATCTTCGGCACCATCTTCGAAAATTTTATTGCGATGTCAGTTGCCCTCACCATGTTTCTTTTTTGAAAGTTTAACTAACTGTCGTAGCTATAGATATATAGCCATGTATTATATAATCACAGGAACTGCGACAAAATATAGATTATAAAACATAGAAAAATATCGGTCAGTCGAGTATAAAGATGTTATCAATCCACGGAATCTCTTTTGTTTTGTTTTGCTGTTATTAGAGCCTTGGAATTCGTGTATCAGTCTTTTAGGTAATCGATGCTACAATACTGGCAAAACAAACCAAAAAAATTCAGATGTTCCTCGCATATACAATGGAAATAATATAATAATGGAATGATTGTAATACCTATATAGTAATGCAAGTGTTATATAGTGGAAATTATTAAGAATTAATAAGAATTATATAGTGGAATTATTACGAAAGTCTAAATGAAAGCATTAATTTAAACAGTTAACATATGGAATTCAGTTAGCAGTCTGGGGATCATAGGCCATGTGTATAAAAGTTATAAAGGAAGTTAAATCTTTAATTATAGTTTTTGACAGACTCGCTAATTAGAATCGTGTAAGAGATTTATAAAACTGCCCCCTAAATGACAACTATGGAAACCACTCTCTTTCGTTGAAATAAACAAATCTCGTAGATTGATGGATTACTGTAAAAGGTTAAAATACTCTTTTGTTTTGGGTTAATCTCCTTGGTTGTTCCGCTCGAAACCTTGCAGTTAATTATATACAGTCTATTAAAAACATGTGATATGAACAAACACATCCTCGGACCTGGTGTTATTTTAGATGGTAAAGATATAAAGAAATGTAATTTGTATATGTATAAGAGAAGATAAAAAATAGCAGTCCATGCATGAACGCGTGCGCTTGAGTTGTTTACGTTACTCCGACGACATCACTATATCCGTTGTATCCTGGTGACAGACCATGCTCAGTACGAAAATATCTCATAGCAAAACCACAGTAACAACCCCACGTGCGATCTTTCTATCTAAGAAATGTTTGGTTATCAGAGAGAGTGCCGACACTTTACCCAATATAATTATCAAGGTTATAAAGTTGCGTAATCTTTCAAGGGCACTGGCATGTATGGTGCGCGCGGAGCAAGTTGCTGTACATCATTATAAATATCAATTGTCTACACAAGTATTTCGTCGAATTCGTTTTAAATACATTCAGGTGCATATATTGACTTGGATTTGTTTAATTACGCGTCTGGCACTTGAAGTGCGTATCAAGAATTTCATCGTTTTAGCTCGGCAGGTCCGGGCATGCAAGTGTTCCAGACTCATTCACAGCGTAACAGCATAGCTGGAATGTTTGGTGTCCTAGAATAGGCTAACATGGCGTGTGATTGAAATAAAACCCAAACTTCCTCAGTTTGATTGAAATAAAAAACCAACTTCCTCGCAACACGATTTCCCGTTCGATACCTTCGTAAACTAAAAGTCTAGATTGTAAAAATTATTGATTGTTATGCAATAGTGGAATGTTTGGTGTCCTAGAATAGGCTAACATGGCGTGTGATTGAAATAAAACCCAAACTTCCTTAGTTTGATTGAAATCGAAAACCAACTTCCTCGCAACACGATTTCCGCGTTCGATAACTTCGTATACTAAAGTTAAGATTGTAAAAATTCTTAATTGTTATTGTCTTTAACTCTAGAGAAAACTAGTGCAACGTTTGTAAGCAACAAAAGATGTTCTCCTAGCACACAAGCGGTTCGCACCCAGCATGTGTTTGCAATGTGTTGGTAGTCTCTATAGTTTTTCTCCCCTTGGCATAAAGAAATTCTCCTGCATGTCTGGTGTTTGCAAGTGCGTGAGAGCCGTGAATTGCACTGCACGGTTGAGAACATATGTGTGCATATCCTAAACACCTAAATTCAAGATAGGGAATTGCATGACCGTTGGCTAGATTGTTATCCAATGAAGATCTGTGCGTGGCTTAATTGTGCGGACGTTTTAATGCAATTATAGTATAATCGCAGGTTATCAGTATTGTATGAAACAGTACGAAGAAACTTTTAAGGGAAAGGATTTCACTTGGTCAGCACACCCTATAATAGGATTTTTTTTTGCTATGAGCAGAAGCTATTAAAAGTCACAATATAAGAATGAGTTACATTCCTGCTAAGGATGAAGGTAAAATTCGGTGAATGTTGCAGCCCTACACGCTTGGGCATGTCTCCACCCACTCGTATTGAAAAACATATACTTTTAAAAATTGAAACCAGTTTAAGGTGGCAGCTTTAATCTAGCGCAATTACAAACGCGTGTTTGCCAATCTAGCTTAAAAACATGCATCAAAACATTCTCATATAGGTTTCGAAACCTATTGTAGGGATAGCCCCACCCAGTCATGCATATATGTTGATTTGTTGCTTGCTTCGTATTGTTTATTGATAACCGAAAGATGCACGAGATAAAAACATGTTTACCATCGATACTGTTTTGAAAATTTGCGGTGAGAAAAGCCCAGCATCGAAACGAAACTTATAGATAAAATTTATAGATGAAATGAACCCTAGCTACTATAAAATAGCCCCTGACGCAGAGAAATGCTAGTACATCCAGTTGTTACGAAATATTATTTTATATATAGCCGACACATAGAACTGGATATATACTGTATGTAATTGACCGAAGGGTATACAGATTAAGTTACAGACGGTTTCGAAACTGTTCAAATATCCCATGTTGCTTAGTGCACTGCGGAGCACGTGTTATATATATATAAGATTGGCTCGAAAAAAAAGAGCTGATTGGAAATATTTTAGCGTTGTTTGCAGAAGTCAGTTGACGATTCAGATCACCTCTAGGATTCTTACATCCTTATCAGAAAGGGAAATAGCTTCGAATAAGATTGCATCAAGCTGGATGGCAATGATAGATTTTCCAGATCAATACATGCAAGACCTTGGAGGTATAGTGTGTGCAAGTGCAAGTAGAGTAACTTTGTAAACTAAAACGAAACATTCATTAAAAAATTTCAAAGATTTTCTTCGCTCTATTTGGTTTCCATAATATTTTTTACCTCGTACTATATAATTCACGAATAAAGTATGCATTGCTATAATATACTGAACATGTTAATATTGGCGTTATAACTCAGATGCCCTTGAATCGCCCAAAGAACGATATATCAATGTTATAATCACTAGCTGTTTAAGATATACTGGTGATAATGAAGTATGAATGCAAGTTCATTACTGTCTCACGTCAAAGCTTGCAGGCTTAATTAATCCCAGATCAGTTGATTTCTATAGTCTCTAGGTTTCCAGTTTTGCGTAATGAAAGCAATAAACTGCTTGCTTTTCAACGTTATTCTTTGCTGCTCCTGATGCCCGCAATTGTACTTTTAAATTATTCATGTATATAAGTACATATATTTGTATACACGTACACTTCAGTGTTGCGAAAATACTTTTTGTCTCGATGTAGTAGAGTGTCCGAGGCACAGCTAGTATATAAAACTACATCGTTTGTGGTGTAAAACCTATAAATTAACTTAATATTTGCATAATTCAGTAACTTTAAAGATAAAGCCAAAGAGTAGGCTATTACTGAGTTCACATTGAATGTTGAAGCCTTGTTTTTCAGCTACGTGCTAACAGGGAATTCGCTGCGGTAATTAAAATAACTTGACTATAGCATTAAGACTGAACATTAAAGGTGTAAAATCTCAAGCCATTCAACGGAAAGTCGCGTGACCAAGATGACGAAGGGTGATCGAGCTTTCTTTCTGCGGCTCACACTGCACAGATTTGGATCCAGTCATGATGGCGATCAGAACTTTGATGCTATATATATATATATATATATATATATATATATATATATATATATATATATATATATATATATATATAAAAAAATGTATCAGTTATATACGAGGAGAAATTGTCTGCGCGACACTTACTAAAATGACGCTATACTTTGAAACGCTAAATTGCTATATAAATTTTAGCCAGACGCAATTACGTACATTAGACTCGAAACATGCAGGACCTGCATCTTTTCTTTTTGCTTTCTAAATTAGTTTGGATTGTACAATATTTCTTTCTCTTGCAACTTTAATTTAAGATATTTTTCTTGAAAAAAGCCAAGGTTCATATTCTCAACGACATTCTTAACGAAACTGTATCTATATATGCAGAAAAGAATCACTGATTATTGGAGCATTTTAAGTCCATGATAGCAGTGATTTTACGCTGCATGCATCGCTGGATAGACAAACTTGTTAACAATCACTATGGTTTTGGCTTTTCAGTGCTATATATATGCATGAAAATGCACGCATCTCATATATGTACGGTGGATTTTATAGCCTAAACATTAAACTGCATGTTTCAGTGAAAGTGAATATAAAGTTGTAGGTACCTATTGTAGGGTATTACGATATAGAGCAACCTGCAGGAAATGGAGAATTTTACTTGTCTGCTCGTTTAAGCTAATATTTACTTAGACTTTTATAATCTGAAAGCCGTTTATAAATACAAAATCGAAACCTTTCCGCATTGGAAGTGCATAAAAAAATAATTATTCCAAATATTGTCATCACTATGGGGTTGGTATGTTTACTAATTTGATCTCGTAAAAGCACGAAACCATGCTTAATACTGAACGTCCTACAAGTGCATGAGAAAAATATATTTTAAATATCACTGGAAAAGCCGAAATATATACAAAAGTGTATGAGAAAGTGAAAACTTTAAATTTTATACCAATTAATGAAATCCTTAAACTTCATGCATGAGCATTAACACTGTATATAAAGGACTGATGCATCGGATATTCCTTGATCACACAGTGATCATGCAACGAGTGCAGAGACTTGTTATGATTCATGAATGAATCGCAAATTCAAAGTCGACCAACTCTGAGTTAGACGTTACCAGCATGCCTGGGCGGATATATATATATATTTTTTATACTGACGACTTAGGACTTGGTAGTGGCGATAATGCATCTCAGCACAATAATTCTGCCTTATAGCAAAAGGATTTGAAGGGCGATTCCTTAAAATCGTCTTATTGATGGAGCAATGAAAAAAAACATAGGACCTGTGGAAACGAGGTCAATGTGAACGAACGCTAGGGCAAACACTATTAAGTAGTGTATGTCGCAATAAGTCAAGGTTCTGTAACCTTCATAGAACAACCCTTTTTGAGAAACGTTTAACTTTATAACTATAATCTGCATGCATGGTGCATATTACATGAAAAAAAAATAAATTTACCCTGTCTTGTTAGTTTTCTACGACAGATATCAGTATAGAAGAAACAATTAAAGAAACATAAGTTTAAGATAGAAAGGAATTTGTGTAATAAAAATATCGTCTACAATTCAAAGACGACCTCTCGTTTTGTTGACAATTATACCATTTACAATTTTAAATTCTAAGTGTACTATTGAGCTGATATGAAGTGAGTAGCTCAGTCAATCAGATTACATAAACAGTGAGTATATATATAACTATGCTATATGTGCAGACTTTCAGTTATAAAACGTCTGCGTTATGGACATATATAGTTTGCGGACAGATTTGGCAAATGCGGCATCGGGATTGTGAACATTATAGACATTAAACTGTGTCTGTTAAGAAAACGGGAATAAGGTTTTACGTTTCATGCAAAACTACACATATGCAACGCCAACGATGCTAGTTTTTAGTTGCAGATTTTTGGAACACTCCAGTGAACGAATACGATATGACGTCTTCCATTGGCGCTTTGTCGGCGGAGGTTGAATTTCTAAACATAGATGAGTCGACCGTGGTTTATAAATACCAGTCCCGCGTTCGCAAGGAGGCGAAACAGCGGCTGAAAAATGCTGAAGTTCAAATATTGGTCACTTCACCAGTTGAGATAAGGACAATAAGGGCGTGGGTGCAACGAGAAGAGAAAGCTGCTGATTTATTTGTTTACAATGTTGGCCGTGTCGAATTCGCTACTAGGGATATCACATTTAAAGGGAGACAGTCTTTAGAAAACGGATTCGGAACAAAGGTATGCCATGCGGGAAAAAGTGTTGACACCGGTGGGATAAAATTATATTTATTATACAGTTTCATTTCCGAATATCTATTTATTGAGAAATAGTCTGTCTAATTGCATCCATACAGCGACATATAGCAGTTGAACGATGGACGTTTAATTAATAAAACAAATATATATTTCACGAAAGTGGGAGGTATCTTAAGCCCCGTTTAGACTGCACTCGATTTATCGGCACGGCACGGCTAAAATGAGTACCCGTGCCCATTTCATCCGTGCCCGGCCTCTGTTTTGGTAGCCTGAACACTATTAAAATTGGGCACGGGTACCTATTTTAGCCGTGCCGTGCCGATAAATTGAGTGTAGTGTAAACGGAGCTTTAACTACTTTCAAAAACGGCCAGTAATCACATCTTAATCTTTTTAGATATACACTACCACCCCTTACAGAATTTGAAGTTGATTAGCCTTCTTTCAGAAACGATCACAATATATACGAATCCTGGTATTGTTTGTTCCCGCCTGTTAATAAAAACAAAATTGAACAATGTTTTGTCGTTCCCCGCCAGGAACTTGCTCGCCAATACTAAAGCCTGCATGGATTCCATATAACGCAGACATGCCGCCGACGTGCCGCAACTTCCAGGCAGGCATATGGAAACACGTTGTCGGCGACATCTGCGACTTTTTAGCCAATTTCCAAAATGGCGACAGAGAAAGCAAAGTCATTCTATTTATTGCCGCCATTTTTAAAATTCTGACGTGGTTTCCTTTACCGACTCAAGCCACCGACCCGTATCTGCGGCATATCTGCGGCATATCTGCGGCGTGTCACCGTCATATGGAAACTATGCAGGCTTAATGTTGCAACTTCACGTTTTTAATACTGTACAAAAATAGGTCTGTTGAGTGCAAGAACAAAATCGTTCGATCCTCGTCGAGGTAACGTGTTGATTTTCAGAACTACCGCGACTGATCTTCACGGCATGATTTTCATAGCATCAAATTAAGACGTACCATAATGCTTGCAGTGTTATGACTAAAGGCCCGTTCACGGGGCCAACACTTTTCGGTCCGCCTGATGCGTTTTACACGAAAAAAATTTGAGTTCGGCACGCCTAAAATGGGAAGGCCGCCCTCCCCTATCAGAGGTGTTTTACAAACAAACAGGCGAAACGTCCAAATTCAAAATATGGCGCCATTTTTTTATGTACCTCAATGTTTTCAATTAGGATAGGGTAACCGAGGTCTCCGTCACTATACGATACTTTAATGTGTGCAGGACTGCATGACCTGATACTGGGTATGGAAATATACTTAATTAAAGATCTGTAACTTTATCGACAGAATTTGTTCGAGATTGACCTTGATTCAATATACTATGACAATCCATTGGACAAAAGGCCTGTTTACAAACTGGCGAAAACGGACATGCTCAACCGAAATCGATTCCAGGTGGTTGTGCAGGTTGTTTTTGTCGACAATAGCTGCAGTCGAGATTTTATCAGCCCTGCTTTCTACTGCTGCACGCAACCAAAGAGCAGCACAAAAAGAAGAACGCGATCAACCGGTGGTACGTATGAAGAAAACTGATATACAACTATTATTGAAAACTATTACTATCCTTTTTGTTCGTTCAGCGTTCGACTATACATTTTATGAAATCTAATGATTCAAAGATAACAATTATTTTATTTTCTATCACAATTAATTTCATAATAGCAATTGGCAAACAATACGGAAAAGCATGGAATGAGCCTGAGGTTTACGGTGAGTGAAAACGTTTTGCTTAAAAGTTTTTAATAAAACATTGTCAGCGAATTGATGTCTAAACGTGAATCTTAGGGCTGTTCTCTACTGTTGCGTTTTTTTTTCACGTACGTGTACAGGCACGTAAAAGCTTAAAACCTGTTAGTTGTTGTATAATAGTCTAAAAATACAAACAAGAACATTACGGACCGTACCTCATATAGACAAAGCACGTTATGTATATCACTTACCACTGATAATGAGCATCGCAGGCGCATGCGCACCAGTTTGGCCAATCGCTTTCGCGTAAAGGCAAAATATACGAGAATATACGCGTGCGTGGAAATATTTATGGCAGAATGTTCAAAGAAAAATCGTATTTATAGATCATGCTTTCTGGTCAGTTTCAAACATGAGCGCCTAAGTGATCCGGTTAATACGCATCTTTGACTATGAGATTAGACACTTTACATAGGCTCTGAAATTTATTCGTCATTATATATCATAAATTATTTTCCGTTAGCAGATGGTAGTCAGATAATCGATTACTTTGAGGCACACGAAGCGGTAATTGGCAACTTAGAGGTTAAAGGAACGCTTCATAGCCCGAAACAGAAAGCTGATATAGCGTATCACTTCGATGTATCTCACTCGGCGTTCAAAGAGCGATTGTGCGAGGGAGATGTTGTTGGATTGTCTACGATCGCCAATGGCAAAACCGCCATAGTTGAACTTTCGTCCGAGAACATCCCAACCATAATACAAGCAGGCGTGATCAGTCGCTCCGCATTTCTTGAGGGTAATATTCCAGATGAGAAAGGTACTTATGAAAAACGATATATTTTAAACATTCATTCTCTAACCGAATTCTGTCATCCCCGGAAAATCACGACCGAGACTCGTATATTTTCGTATAGTGACTACTGATAGAATTTGTATGATGGGAATCGTCCGAGTAAAGACGGTTGGAAATACAGTGAGCGGAGAAAGAGTGTACGCATCAACAGCCTTTCCTGGGAAGGCAGTCTCCGAATCACATTCCTTGCGTACGGAAAACGATGTGCTATTGGGCATCGCATTGGAGAACTCGGTTCATGAAGACAAGCAAGTTGGATCATTTGTACGCTGTTTTGTCTCCTTTTTGTTTGGAATAGAAGGAAAGTGTTTAGCCCAAAAGGCAAAGGAGCTTGAAATACGGACTGATGCCAAGATTGAAAAAGCCATGTATGAGAAGTGGAGTGGTGAGAAAATATTCTGACTGTTTATAATGGTATTAGAATGAATAGGATTGCGGTTAATGCGAAAATAATAGGAATATACGGTTACAAAATCAACCCACCGAAATATATCTAATTTTTTCTATTTTGCGTTTATTATTTTTAAATTAAAATTCCAAACAAATACTTCTGTCAGATATGTTTTTCTGCATTTCAATGCCTGTTTACAAACCTTTTTCCCGCCCCCATTGATTAAGTTTTACTAACACTTTACGAGTCTTACAAGTTTTACTAACCCTCTCGTCCCAGGTTCACTATTGAACTTTACATGACATCCCGCTTGTCAATTTCTTAAAAAGCGAAGAGCGAGACTGCGTGATAATCTTACTGTCATATCTTTTCTAGAGTTGAAAGAAATGGCGATGTGTTGGTGTCTTGTTTTCACCTGCTTCGCGGTATTGCTTGGCGTAATTCTTTTTACGTCACTTCGTCTGACATAAATACAGTTAATCGAATACATAAAATTAGTTAAGATTGCATGGACGGATAAAAGCGATTTATTAAACAAATTATTACGCACCAATGTATCCGAGATAGGACAGATAATATGTTGAAATCAAACTTTCTGAAAGTTTGTTTATAAACCGTTTAAATGTATTAATCTTGATTCTCCTCAAAATTACATCCTATATTCAGTTTTGAACTGCTTAAAACTAAGTAGAGTTAAATTAGGTTTATGGAAGCCTATTTTATCATCCATGCATGCATGCATTCAAATTACAAAAGCAAATATGAATTTTAAGAAAGACTATAGTTCAATTATCAGTTACGCTGTAGTTCAATTCATTTAGTGGCTTCGTTTAATTCATGGAAATTATATATGTAATGATTTTGTATAGTGTGAAATTTACACAATTATCTCCAATCTGTCAAACAAACGAAAAAGTATAAAGAACGACTTTTTAACTTTTCTCTTGTACTTCTTGTTTTTTTCTTCTCTTCTAAATATACCTTTTCTCAGCTTCGTTAAAAGTTAAAACCACCCGATAAAACGTTCTGTTTGTAATGTTCTGTTTTTGCGCGCAATGTATACAGGTCGATTCTTCGAATTTTGTCATAATACTTGTAATTATGTAAAGTTATAGATTCCAGCGGTTGTAGTCGAATTATATAAGAATGAAATTAAAGAATGACAGGTAAATTTAAGAGTCATCAACAAACTATTTCAAGGACCAAGTAATAGATGTTGGAAGATCTTTGATAATTATGTAGATATTAAACAAGGCTTGACCCTTATCGAGCCTTGAGGAACACCGAGAGTCTTCACAAAACCCTATAATTATATATGATCAATTTGTACATAATACTTATTGCTTTTGGTCTGCGAGCCGCGCGAGGTAATTTTTGAACCAATCCACAACATTCAAAGACCACAGCACTCGAAGATTTTGGAACGGTGCAGCACAACGTGTAATTTGGGAAATAATTTTAGGTATTAAATCAAAAAAATTTCAAGCCTCCTATTTCAAGCTGTCTACGACGCACAGGATGCCCTACCTATCTGGTGTGGTGATCGAGATTGGTACAATAAAGTTAGGCTTTATTTTATTTAAGTGCGCAATCTTTCTCCTCTGTTCCAGATCATGCTATAGTTCGTTCGTCATCACCTATTTAGGCGTTTTGTGCCACATATAAAAAAATCTAATTGTTCAAATGAATAGCCGTTTTGTCAAATGACATGTCCTACTGAACATTATTGTTCCAAATAAAGCTATTTGCATTTTCTACAGTCAGTTTGTTTTTGTCTTTGATCGAAATTGCATCAGTGTAGATTGTAAAAACTACGCCTTCATTGATCTTTGACTCAACACAGGAATCTTTGATTTCATCATTTCCTATCTCCGTATCCTCGCTGTCCTCATCTTTAACTTTGACAAGGATTGTGAATAAGTTGAGCATCAATATAGTTGCGACAAATACAAAAACGATTGGAAGAATGATAAGTCCTTTATCACCTGTACTATCAGGTAGAACATCGATAATGGTTGCTGGAAAGCTAATAACTCTAAGGCAGCTCATAATGGACAAAGTCACAGTTGATTTCTTTGACACACATGGTAATACTGAAAGAAGACCATAGTTTGATAGGGCATTGAACATTGTGAAACTTGTTCCAAGTGCGATTACAAGTAAGAGTTTGACGACGGAAACCTTTTCTAAGTTTCCACTTGCGCTCGTCTCACTGATTTTGACAAGGAAAATGCCTACAAGGAAACTTATTCCAACGTATTTCACGGTATTGTTCCATTTCGTCACGAATTTCTTCACGGGGCTAATACGACGCAAACACATTCCAGCCTTTTGAGTAAAAAATAATAACGCTAATTTTTAAATCATCAAGGATTGTCGAATGGCATATCTGCTAATATGCCAAGAGTTGGTTTTTATCTAGTCGTAATTCAATGTCAAGGTTTTTAAATATTAGAATATTCCTACCAATTTAAAACACAAAATGAATACAAATTCCTTCCGGACTATTTTACAACGATGAAAATAACGGAAATTACGACTAAACTAGTGAGTGGAACTCATGCATTTAGGAAATTTACGACAAAACGAGTGGGTGGAGTTCTTAAGGGTGTTTTCCCCTTTTAAAATAGATGCATAGGGCTGGATTCTGTCGATGACTTAGCGTGTCTTGTTCTAGCATAAAATGAATTATAACAAGAACTTGTAAGGTCTTAAACTTTTAAAAACAGTTAAAACACTACAGTGGAAAGCAGCCCTTATACGACCAGTTACGGGTATATACTCACCAGCCACGGCACCAAGATTCTGATGACGATGTTTAGCAGTAATTTCCCAACACTGATGTTGCCGTGCTGCATCGTTGGCACAAACAAACCCAACATGGGAGGGACAGTAAAGATAGAAATGATCATGCAAAGGATTGAAACCAAGACAGTCAAGCCTCGATGACCGTTTGCCACTGTTACCTATATTTGATAGAAAATCCCTTCTTAGAATGAATTTTGAAATGGCATTTTAAGAAATTAGGAAAATTCCTAACGTTTCAATGCGTTTAGATTTAAATATTCATGCTTCTCTAATATTTCAAAGGCGTGCCGACTGCCGCGGCAAAGCGAGCATACCACGCATAACTGATGCAGGCTAAGTTATCAAAATTACTACATAGGACATGCAATTACCTATAAAGTAAATATACATGCAGTGGTACAAATATTAAGGAGTTAATTACCTACCATAATCAGTGAGGTTGCGGGTGTATTTGGAGACATGAGATATATTTGCAATGCAAGACGAAACTCCTCTGGACCAAGAAGTTCATTTTCTTCACTGCTATGGTTCGAATTGTTTTTCAAATTTAGATTATGCCCAACGGATGAGTCGAATTCTTGAATCTGGTTTAAGACACACGTTGAAAACACTGGGCCGACGAGTATTATCAAAAATAAACCTAGTGCTATTTCTTTGTAAGAGCGGACAGCCGTTTTCGCTTCCTCAAAACGAAATCGGATACCAATGGTGAAAAAGAGAACGATGATGCAGATTTTAACAATTGGAATTCTTTGGCTCACGAAGACTGCTGGTTGAGGAAGAAGTATCCCAACGATTATGGATAAAACTACCCCAATAGGCAAGAAGTTCCTCATGTAAAAATTTCTAAACCTGGCAAAGATGCTTAACTTCTCTACGGTTTCCTCTTGTTTCTTTACTTCCACCGCCACATCAACATTAGACGCCATTTTTCCAACTCAAAAGTTTCAAGTTACAAGATTTATCGTAGCGAGATAGCTCAACAGTTACCTACTGTATCAGTCTGTATGATTGTAACAACTATACTGCCCTATATAAGCAGCAGGGTTCCTGTAATATTTGGATAGATCACGTACAGAAGTCCCCAAGTTATGCAAAAATGTCTTGTTTTAGTCAGCAAACATTGTAAAAGATTTTAATTGAATAGAAATAATTCAATAAATAACACGTAATTCATACACTGACGTGCGTAAAATTGCAATATAGGACGAAATACATGCATGCGGAGTGTAAAAATTCGAAAGTTATGAATCTAACTTGACTTATATATTATATCACGATATAAATTAATATGGACATTTATCAACTTTGATGGTCACACAGCGATAATGTAAATAACACGAAGAATAGATGAAAAAAACGTTCAACTGAAGTTGAGTGTTCTGTAATATATCAGTAGCATGATAACAGGAATATATATGCGTTAGGCAAGTATTTAATATAAATCTATGTTATATAAATGTACATACGAAATTTATTCCACTAGAAGGCACTACAAAATTGCAATCTTGAGCTCTCACGCGGTGTCGGCTCATGTATTACTGTAAATTAGGATACATATTAAGAGAGTGAAAAAATCTTCAGATAAAAGATCGATGGAACACAGAGTGGCTGGTAAACTTTGCCTGGCTCGCACGTAGTTTCGGCCTGAGCAGTTAGCCCAGTCGGCAGAAAAAAGATTTTTGTGGCGAGCTGGTTTTCTATACGTGATCGATGTTATATGTAGAAGGAAATAGCCCCTTCGCGTTATCAATCTTAATTGAGAGATCCCCCACCGCATTAAAAGGAACCGACATCTATCCATGAATTGTGGCAAATACAATAATTTGGATACGGAGTATAGTCTGTATAGACCGTTGTATGATACCTTCCCTTCACAGAAAGAAATTATAGATATTTTGTGCATCTTAACTCCGAATGTCTGTATGAGTTGCATGCTTGCTTATTGTCTGTACCATCTTGGCACGTGATGCCAATTGATGTTTTTTATCATTTATCGAGCTATGCAGAACGAGTTCCTGTGCGTTATCAATCTTAAACTGGGAGGGCTACCATCTATTTATAGATATAGGCATGATGCTTTATGCTTCTCCAATGTTTCAAAGGCGTGCGCAAACATATATACATGCAGGCTAAGTTATCAAAATTACTAAGACATGTAATTACCTAAACATACATCATGCAGTGGCACAAATATTAAGGAGTTAATAACTTACCATAATCAGTGAGGTTGCGGGGGTATTTGGAGACATGAGATATATTTGCAATGCAAGACGAAACTCGAGCCTCTGGACCAAGAAGTGCAATTCCTTCACTGCTATGCCCATGGTTCGAATTGTTTTTCAAAATTTAATTTAGATTATGCCCAACGGATGAGTCGAATTGTTGAACCTGGTTTAAGACACACGTTGAAAACACTGGGCCGACGAATATTATCAAGAATAAACCTAATGATATTTCTTTGTAAGAGCGAACAGCCGTTTTCGCTTCCTCAAAACGAAATCGGATACCAATGGTGAAAAAGAGAACGATGATGCAGATTTTAACAATTGGAATTCTTTGCTGACAAAGACTGTTGGTTGAGGGAAAAGTATTCCGACGCAATATGAATTATTAAAACTGCCTTATTTGGCAAGAAATTCCTCATGTAAAAATTTCTAAACCTCACAAAGATGCTTAACTTCTTTACGCTTTCCTCTTGTTTTTTTATTTTCACCGCCACATCAGCTCGAGACGCCATTTTTGCAATCAAGACAAGAGTCTCAAGTTTCGTCACAGGATTTATCGTAGCGAGATCGCTCAACAGGTTGCTGATGACTAATGTATATAAAGCTTAACTACTGTATAATGCTCAGTTCTATAAGCAGCAGGTATCCTATTGGATGGATCACATACAGAAGTCTCAAAATTTTGCAAAAATTTGTAAAATGTTCTGTTTCAGCCGGTAACAAGATCTAGAAATTGTTCTAGAAATTATTCTATAAATAACATGCATGCATTGTATACAAATAAAGCCAAGACACAATGGACGACTTGCGCTTTAGACTAATTTTTAATCGAAGTAACTATAGAAGGAAATAAATCATTACAGCTAGAGAGATCTTACTTTAATTAGTGTAAATTCAAAGCTGCGAAATTTTTTAAAATACGGAAAATATAGCCATGCCCATGTGAATTTGGCAAACTGATTTTGTATACTTTTGTATTACGTGCGGAATTGTGTGACTAAATTAGTTACACACTTCTGGCCGTGATACTAAAGTATACAAAATTTCGCATGGCTATATTTTCCGTAATTTACAACAATTCGCAGCCAAACTTGGCAGTTTTACTAATTTTAGTAAGCTCTTTCAGAAAATGTCCTTTTTATCGCCGAGGCCCGAGGTAAGAAATTAGTCTAAAGCGCAAGTTATCCATTACACATTTAAGATTGCAACAAGATAATTTTCCTAGAATAAGCATGCTTTTAAAATATCGATCGCACAGCTGCCACAACATACACACTTTTTTCACATTCCTATCTAAGACTAAGGATTTGCCAACTTTACGACAACGTGAATTACGTGATGCACGGTTTTCTAAGTCATTACTCATATAATCATATGCACGTATGTTTTTTTACGTTATCTGCATGTGTTGTGAAACCATATAGTTCTACGCGGCAAAACTAAAAACAACAACATAAGAGCCCTGGGTACGAAGTTGGGCAAAACTATCGACGGCGGAAACATGCTTACGAAATCGACTTGCTCGAGCAGAAATTCGCTCACATTTAGACACTTGCGTGTGATGACGCCAAAACTGCATAGTATATCAAATAGTTTTATCGACACTGATACTATATACACCAGAGTCAATTATATATGCCTGCCAAACAGTGTTGGTTGATTATACTGTTTGGCTATAGGTCATTGCTAACGGTCTCTCATTCTTTAGTGTCATTAACCTGCTTTGCGTACTTAGTATTAAAAACTTGTTTATCTGGTTAGTCTACAAGCCAACAATTCATCGGCTATTCGTGCATCCGTGAGTCGTCTCATTGAGACCTTTGATTTAGCTAGCTAATAAATCACTGCACGTTTCCATGCACGTGGCAGGGAGTACGTTCTCTTAAGATTTTCATTCAATCACGTATAAACAGAAAGCCTTTGTGATTTAGCTATTTGCATAGAGCTGGGAATAACATGGAATATACAGACGCGTATAGTGTCTGTAGACTAATGTTAAAACACATAAGACAATGAGCAAGCATGCAACTCATACAGACATTCGGAGTTAAGATGCACGAAGATCCTTGATTTCTTTCTATCGTACAACGGTCTATACTCCGTATCCAAATTATTGTATATGCAGGAAAACTAATGAAAACGACTCATAAATAGATGTCGGTTCCTTTTAATTCGGTGGGGAGCTCTCAATTAAGATTAATTGATAACGCGAAGAAATTCCACTGAGCTATATTTCCCCCTGCACACCGAACATCCCCTGCGCGTGTACAAATATCGCCCCAAAATTCAAATTTCTGCCGACTGTGCTAACTGTTCACCGAAACTATATGTGCGGGCCAGGCAATGTTTATACCAGCCACTGTGTGTTCCGTCGATCTTTTATGCTAGTTCGTGAACATGAACGTGAGAATTCAAGATTGCAGTTTTGTAGGTGCCTTTTAGTGGAGTAAATTACGTTCAGTGTACATTTATAATAGTATAAATTTATATTAAATACATATATTCCTGTTGTCATGCCACTGATATATTACAGAAGAACACGCAACTTTGTACCATTTTTTCATCCATTCTTTGTGTTATTTACATCCCTAGCTGAGTGACTATCAAAGCTGATAAATGTCCATTAATTTATTTTGTGATATAATATATAGCCTAAGCCAAGTTAGATTCATAACTTACGCATTTTTACATTCAATTTTCCAACAATTATACAGGCATCTAAATGAATTTTCAAAATTCCAATCTGGTTTTCCGCCAGGGCACTCCACCTTAACCGCCCTCGATTCACCGAATGGTGTGATA